TTTTAACTTTTTTTTACCATTCTGTGTTTGATGAGCACATACCATATAGTCTGTTTCATCTTCTACCATTCCTTTTGGTTTTTCCCATGCCAAAGTAATAAAAGACTTTCCTATTCTACGTGGCTTCAAGTTATGCGGTTCTCCTGGTCCTTAAAAAAAAAATTTGCTGAGCTCATAGAAAAGGGAAAATACAATTATTCGTCTTACTAGCCTTAGATACGCTAAGTTAGCTAATGTTGCGTGATAGACTGTTCTTAGGGGATATTTTAATAGTACTTACTTGATGTGGTAACACCTTGAGTAGCATTTGGACCTAAGCCAGCTATCGTTGCAGCCGCAACATGAACTTCATACTGTGCACACAGTCTAAGACCGAGCAAAACAAATTGGGTTCCCTTTGTTGTCCCAGTGAAAGTGTCACCAACTGCCATTCTCTTAGCTCGTCCAATGTGACGTAAGGCCCAGACGATCTTGTACATTGTGATTTTGCCATTAACTTTGTTCCTAGGCAAAGGCTGCCAAGCAATAATAAAGGTGGTTTTGTTTTGCTCTGTCACTTCCATGCCTTGTGGTGCGATATCAGGGACTAATTTGATAACATAATAAAATGCAATCAATGATAGTTACAATAGTAAGAAAATTGCTCATATGTAAAACGTTCTACTTTCAGAAAAGTGTGATTTTGAGTCATGCCAAATATTTCAACTTGAGTTACCGCGACTTAAATCGTTCAAAGACGTTTATAAGCTTTGATATTAGATTTAGTTAGTTGTGCATCATTCAACCACTAACGGTTCCATCAGCGATCGAAAAGATGTGTTTTTCAATAATTATATTCAGCTTACGTGCACTGCATGACAAGAAAGATTTAAATTTAGCCCGTAGACTCATTGCTGATTTGCGGCACAAAAAGGTGTGTTTTGATGTCAGAAGGCTTCAAGATAAAGTATCAGACACTAACTTAGTGAATTCAAATCTCAGCCTGCTATCCACCATATAGTTAATGCGACCTTTCACTTGAATCTTTTGTTAACGCGCATTATTAATATAATGCAATTTTTTCCGCTTATTCATCTATTATTTACCATCCTCTTTTGTGTTTGCTGTTGCGATGTTGCTTTCAGTGCCATAATATCTTGAATTCCACATTGATACAGTTATACTGTATTTCATCCACTTGTTCAAGCTGGTCAGTAAGGTTTTTCTGACGTTTCTAACAAGTTTTGTCTTTTTGATTCTTCGTGCATCAGTGTATGTAATTCTAAAGCCAGTCGAAGGTCCGTTGAATTTTGCCGAACGTGGCAACTAGAGCATATTGAGGTAAAATTGGACAGATGTTTGACATGCTAAATATTGACAATCAAATGCATGGACAGTTATACTTGGAATATAAGAACAATGACTTATTCGACCAAAAAGACTAAATAAGGAATCAACTTGAAGGAGGTACATTTCCAGTACATTTCTTTTGTCATACTATCTAAGTTTATTGTGAAATGACGAGGAACTGTAATATCGCTATCTTGTGTCAGCGTGTATTATGGACTGTGTAAAGGATCCCGATATAAACCATTTTGTAAAATTACTAAAACTGCAATGCAAGGCGAAAGTGTGAAAAGTGGAGTCAATAGGCATGAGACAAATAGGAAACTGAGGATCTGTCATACGACTTTTATATAGAAGTGAACATGTACACGTCGTTTATGTACACATAGAAGGCTCTAATATACACACACTATGTGGAGAAGGACTAACAAATTCTTCAAAAACTTAAAATTACAGGTGAGCATGAAGATTCGAATCCATCGTTGTGCATTTTCTTATCCTATTATTTCCCTAAATCTAACCATTGAACAATGAATTCAATTCGCGTGAATAAATATGAATTTTGCATAATTTTTTGTAATGGACTTCACGAACGACGTAAGATTGAATATGTAATTGTAGAACCTAACATAGGGATTTGGTAGACGTCTATATGTACATGCGAGCCATTCATAGGAATATCCATATATGGTAGTAATGCGTCCGACCTCTACTAAGAAATATACCTCCCATGTTACTTCAATGCTTGTTGATGACTTTGGTGTTGCAGATACATCTGATGGTTTTCCTTCTGGTACTGTAGATATCAATATTATATACCATTAACAACTATATTCATATTGTTTGAGCTTTAACATTAGATGTAGAAGTTGTGCATCATTCAACAACTAACGGTTCCATCAGCGATCGAAAAGACGTGTTTTTCAAGAATTATATGTAGCTTACGTGCAATGCATGACAAGAGAGATTTGAATTTAGCCCGTAGCGGTCTCATTGCTTATTTGCTGCACAAAAAGGTGTGGGTTTTGGTGTCAGAAGGCTTCAAGATAAAGTATCAGACACTAAAGGTAAATACAAATCTCTGCTATCCACCATATAGTTGATGCGACCTTTCACTTGAATCTTTTGGTTCTGTGCATTATTATTACAATACAGTTTTTTTTCTACTTATTCATCTATTATTTACCATCCTCTTTTGTGGTTGCTGTTGCGACGTTGCTTTCAGTGCCATAATATCTTGAATTCCACATTGATACAGTTATACTGTATTTCATCCACTTGTTCAAGTTGCTCAGAAAGGCCTTTCTGACGTTTCTAACAAGTTTTGTCTTTTTGATTCTTCGTGCATTAGTGTATGTAATTCTAAAGCCAGTGGAAGGTCCGTTGAATTTTGCCCAACGTTGCAACTAGAGAATATTGAGGTAAAATTTGAGAGATGTGAAATGATTAGGAACTGTAATATCGTTATCTTGTGTCAGCGTGTATTATGGACTGTGTTAAGGATCCCGATATAAAACATGCGAAAAGGGTTAAAAGTGGTCATTGCCTTTCGGGGCGGATTGTAGATCAATAAGCAGGAGCGGTACAATGGCAATAGGCATGAGATAAATATGAGAAGGATCTGTCATACGACTTTTATATAGAGGTGAACATGTACACGTCGTTTATGTACACATATTTACACAGTATGCGGAGAAGGATTAAGAAATTTTTCGAAAACTTAAAATTACAGGCGAGCATGAAGATTCGAATCCATCCTTGTGCATTTTCTAACCCTATTATTTCCCTAAATCAATCATTGATCAATGAATTCAATTCGCCTGAATAAAATAAATTTTGCATGATGTTTTTGTAGT